TGCTGAGGTTTGGTCAGTGTTCCAAAAGTAACCCCAAAGACCAGACAGGGTGCAGGTAAACTTGCCTTAAAGCATTGTGGCCTGAACCACAGCACCCTTCCCCCCTCCCCCCAGGCCTAGTAATACTTTTTTGGAAAAAGACAAAATGGATGACACCCCACTCTGGAAACAACAGTTCCTCAGGGTCCCCTCCACCAGGGGCCAGGGCTTTAGGTCATCATGTTGAGGAACTTGCTTTCCTCGGCCAGGCTGGTCAGCATGGAGCTCATGTCCCCGACGGCCATGTTGCTGATGCCCGTGGGGACGGAGGGCAGAGTCAGGGAGCTCCGGGGGGTGGTGAGGCGGGAGGAGCTCTGGGAGAGGCTATGGAGGAGGCTGGGGCTCAGGGCGCCTGAGAGCAAGCTCGAATGATCACCGTCATCCATGATGGCGTCGAAATCGATCTGGGAGGCCTCCAGCAGCTGGGAGTCCACAGTGCTGGACACCTGGTTGACGCCTGGTGAGGACAAGGGCTGGGGCTGGAGGCCCTCCGGGCAGGCCTGTGGCTGCGGCGGTTGGGGCCTCATGACCTGGCAGCCTACGTGGTTCTCCAGGCCTCCATTCTGTTCATACATGTGGATTTGGCCATAATAGTAGAGCATGTTGTGGTCCTGGGCTCCACCCGTGTCCTGTGGGGGCAGCTGAGGCGGCAAGGATGCCATAGTGCCCATTGCTCCCTTGGGCACTGACTCTGCCATCTCCTGGTTGGCTGATACAGCAGCCATGGCATGGCCAGCAGCCCTGGCATAGGCCAGCTGCTGCCCAGCACGTACCCCACGGTGGCGGCCAGCAGGGCTGGGCTCAGGAGGTGGCCGGGGTTGCACTAGGCCAAAGCCAGGTCCAGCCAGCCCCCCTGAGGCCTGCTGCAGCTCCAGGAAGCCGGGCTGGTGGGAAGGCAGAAGACTAGGGCCCTGGTGGTAGCCCTCCTGGCTCATGGGGGCTGCCAGGTGATGGCTCTGCTGTGGGTAGCTCTGAGCTGCATGAAGTGGTGCCATCCCGGCCAGGGTGGCATTGGGGGCCCCAAGTTCCCTGCGTCTACTACCCATCATGGAGGGGTCGGGAACAACTTCCATTTGCTGGGGGAGCCCCAGGTGACTGGGCTTGGCTGCCAGGTTGCTGCAGGATGCGGGGAATGGATTCAGGGCCCCGCCCATGGTGCTGGAGCTCAGCTGGGGGTGGCCTTGGCCGTAGCTGACGTGGGGGCTCGCTGTGGTGGTCATGCTGGGACACTGGCCCCCCGCCTTTTCCCACTGGGCCCGGAGGGGGCTCCACTGCAGGGCCGGAGGTGTGGCTGCGTGCTGCCCAGACCCCGAGGGCTCGGCGGCACGCCCTGTGCACCGTAGCCCGGGTACTGGCCGAAGGCCGGCTTCTGCTGCGCCACAGCCAGGTTGCCCTGCAGAACAGGCGGAGGCTTCCCCTGGCTGCTCAGGGCGTCCATGGTGCCAGAGCTCACCTCATTCCACTGCACAGGCATGCTGCTTTTGCTCGGGCCAGAGGGGGCGCCGTAGCCCAGCTGGCAGCCTCCCAGCCCAGGGGCGGAGGGGCCCACGTTGGAGGGGCCCACGTTGGAGTCCGCAGCCACCATCCTGCGCTGGCCGTGCAGCCCCGGGCTGGGCAGTTTGGGCTGTTCAGGGAAGCAGGAGCTCTCGGGGGGATATGCCTGCAGGGCGCTGTCGCCCAGGGTGCCCGCATGTGCCTTGATGTACTGCACCACGTCGTCAGGCAGCACCAGGTCGTCCTCGGGCAGCAGGAGGGGGCCCTCAGGCCCTGCCCCATCTGTCCCCACCGCCATGGCTTCCATCACCATGTTCTCGCTGATGCTGGGTGGCCGGGGGGAGTAGGTGCCGCGGGCTAGGCT